AACTAAATATTTACTATATTTTATTTAAATATTTTAACAAACTAATAAATGAAGTTGAAACTCAGAACTGTTATTATCAAATTGAACAACAATATCACCCGTTTGTGCTTTTAAAGAGATTATTCAAGTGTTGGGTCTATTTTATTAATGAAAGATATATTCAATTATACATCCACATCAACTAACACATAGAACAGAGAAAGTGGAGGGAAAATGATAGTATTACATGAGAATAATGGAAGTAAAAGAACTCAATTGACGCTTCTACAAACTTATAAAATATGATTTGTTTGGAAGAGGCGGTATGGTTTTAAAATTCAAGGTGATGTCCAAGCTTACTTCTCCAAATCATTCCAAAATATAAATTCACACCGTTTCCATTGTGGAATGGTGTTGTGTGTTGACTACAGACTAAATGATTGTTTAAACTTGTTTTATTTCTTACTACTTTTTATTTAGCATAACAGCCGATAGTTTTTTATGTCTGCTTATATCAATGCATATAATTATTTATTCATTGTGCTATATGGTTATGATAGTATTGAAAATAAACATTAAACATATAACTTATAACGTCTTGGGAGAGTTGTCATTCGTCAAGTCAACATCAATATACATTTAAAAATTAATAAATAAGAATTTATCAAAAATGAAAGATATGAACAATTAACTGTTCAACAACAAAAACGAATGTTGTGATTTAATTTTTTTGTTATAATAATAAAAATACTATAAATCAATCAAACTTTTAGAAGTATTAAGAATATTCATTTTTTGTACATATTATTTTTTGTTTGAAAAATAACCAATAGTTGCGAGCATCTGACTTTTTCTTGCATCCCCTTATTTCCCCCTACTGTACATGTCATTTTTTGAACTTCATTAAACTTTTATGTAAAACAATATAATATATTGATTATAATTAATTGATATTAATAATTTCCAATTGTTTAAAACTCAATATTTTACACCAAAAAGTATATTATAAATGTTATAATAAATTATAAAATATTAATAATTAATAAATTAAAAATTGGTTTATCATTAATTCATACTGATTTTTTCTAGTTGTCTTAACTATGTGTTATATTAGTTTTTTAATTATTTTTTAAACAATGTTGTATTTAAAAGTTATTTGGTAATTACAAAAATTAATTTTAACATTATTTAATTATTATTCGTGAATCAATTTATAAAAAATCTTATTTTTAAGTTCTTTAAATTTGTAATTAAAAAAACTTCATCAAACATTCAGAAATAACATGATTCAATTAGATGCATACCACATAATGGTTGTTTCTCAATACTTTTCATCATTCACAGACTTTATAGCACTTGAGATGGTGTGTAAAAAGTATAACGGCAATTTTTCTCGATTTCATTTCAATCCGATTCCGATAAACAATACGATTATAAAGTATTTTTCTTCTATTGAAACTTTGAAGATTTAATCTCCAGACTCCGAAAACTTCGGCTTTCAGTTTTTCGATTTAAATAAACCACGTGTTTCTATACCAAAGTCTATATATAATTTCTTTGTTGTAAACATATGGTACCCAGTCGACTATTCAACATCGATGTGTCCACAAAATAAGAACTTTTCATTTAAACGAATTTGTTACACTTCAACTGATCTTAACGCCTTTGGAAATTTGATACCTTTAAACGTTGTATCAATAGCAAATAAATGTTTTTCTGATTATCAGAGTGATACTTTTGTTGCTCTCACACTTCCAAATAAAATTAATTCATTGGGAGAGTCTTCCTTTGCAAAATGTTATTTGCAAATTGAGTCAATTAATAATTCATGTTTTTCATTTTGCACATCCCTTGTATCTGTGCGCATACCCGTATGCTTGGGTACACTTGGGGATAGCGCTTTTTATGGGTGTTACTCATTACAATCATTTGAAGTTCCAAAAGGTATTACCGAGCTTGGGAAGTATTGTTTTGGGAGGTGCACTTCATTGAGCAAAGTAAGATTACCCAGGAGTTTGAGTATTATAGCGGATGGGTGTTTTTCAGAGTGCAAAAATCTCAAAGAAATTGTGTTACCAAACAACTTAAAAATGATCGGAAGAGAAGCATTTTATGGATGTCAAGAACTCACAAATTTTGTCATACCAAAAAGCGTCACTGAAATCCAACAAGAAGCTTTCCGGTATTGTGGACTGACTTCTATCAACATTCCTGATAGTTTCATAACATTGCCATATGGCGGTTTTATTGGGTGCACTAATTTAGTGGAAGTTGTGATGTCTAGTAGTATTAAGGAAATTGAAATGAATTGCTTTGTTGACTGTAGAAATTTGAGTGCAATCAATTTTACTAAGAACTTGAAAAGGATCTGGGGAGGCGCGTTTTGGAATTGTAGTTCACTTAATGAAGTTGTAGTGTGTAATAACACTAAAATAGATAAGGACGCATTTCAAAACAATACGTATGTATTTAGAAGAGAAGAAGAAGGGCCGATCATGCCATGGGAAAGGTTTAATAAACATAACAAATGAGTTTTAAGTTTGGAGCTGAAATTTAAATGATTACATTGATAAAGTCTTTAAGTTTGAAAATAATTTTGAAAAATTTTTGTTTGTCATAATTGTGAGAAAACGGATTTATTTATTTATACAAAATTTATTAATCTTTTTCTTATAAATTAATGAATAAATATATTCATTTCTTTGAAATATTCAGATTTGCAAAAAGTCAATTAAAAATTATATTTAAATTTAGTCTTAACAAACATGTTTACTAATTATTAAATATAGTGAAAATGCCAATATATATTTATTGAAATCTGGTAGTTGTCTTAAAATATCTTTTTGTTATAAATCAGTTATATAACATCCATTTTAAGATAAAAAACAAACAAACAAACTGTTTGATAAAGTATTTTTGTTTAACCTTATAAAGAGGTTTTGATACCTTTCGACTATTTTTGTTTATATTCTTTCAAGAATTCAATTTCTTTTGAAGTGAATTGTGTTGCTTCTTTCACTTCACTTATACCACACAGTATGAACGCCGTTCTATACGAGTCTTTATACAATTCTTGTTTTCCTTTTAAATCCATTTTAAATAACACACAAGTTTTTGCTTTTAAACAATTATAAAAATCGTCAGTATCATTGGTTTGCATTGCCACCATTTTATCAGTAGTTTTTCCAAATAAATCATCCAACACATCATCAAATAAAATGACACTTTCTTGTTGATTTGAACTGTCTTGAATTGTGGCGATAAGTTTAAAATATTTAATAGGATTTATTTTATCACGGTTACAATGTTTACATTTGTGTGCAGTTTCTTCAACACTTATTTTACATGTTGGACACCCATAATAATAGCATACTTCTTTTCTAAATAATATGAAGAAAGCGGTAACATACCCGTAAACGTCTTGATTTGTTAAATGAATGTTTTTTGTCATTTCTTGTATCGAATAACGAGGAAATTGTGTTACTTCAAAAATCTTATTCAAATTCTTGAAATTGGGTTTGTCAAATTCGTAGTTTCCATCTTCTCTTTTACACTTTTTTAACATTGAAATCAATATGTCTGTTTCTTCATTAATCTCACTTATTTCATAAGTCGATTTATATTAAAAAAAGTTTAATGATCGTACTTTGAATGCTCCAAGTAACACGTTTCTGAATGTGTATATTTTTTTAAACATTTCAAGTTTGTCTGGTAGAGTCGAGGTGTCACCCCAAAATTTAATTTCAATGATATAATTCGATTGATCAACGACTAATATAGTCCGATACACTTTACCTCCTTTGGTCACATTATCTTCTTTGTTTATTTTAATTACAACTCCACTCACATCGTACAATTTTTCAACGGTTGCATTTTTTAAATAAGAAATTGTAGTGATTAAACCTTTTGAAGGAATATCATTTTCAGACTCTTGCGTCGGTATTTCACATGTATAAGTCATATTCACATCAATTTCTTTTTCTCTTAAGTGTATACTACTCTTTATTTCTTTAAATTGTCTACAATATATGAAATACACTGATCCAACTTGAAACATATCAAACGCCTGTTCACATTCATTATCATAACAATTAACTGTCATTTCATTTTCATTGGCGTCTTGAAGCAAAAAACATAATTTTGTTCCTGTTACTGTTCTTGTTATGTTACTTTTTGATATTACTCGCCCTTTAATAGTGACATTGTTTGTCATTGTTGTGATCACAGCAAATGGTGTGATTTTTCTTTTTGATAAGTCTGAAGAATCAACCTTTGTATCAACTTTACTTATTTTACATTTGAATTGATTTAAGTCATTACCGTTTCCGTAATCATAAGTAACAAGTTTATCTCGTGTGGTGTCGATATTTTCATATTCAATAATTTCTAATTTAATTTGTGTTTCTTTTGAATAAGAACACAAAATGTGAAATTCTGCTTTCATTATTTTTAAAAAGTCACCATCGTTGATTGTTTCTAATGGGTCCTTAGACTCATAAAAATAAGCATCTAATAATATAACATCGTCTCCAATTGTTGCTTCTATTACTGTAGATTTTGTTATATGATTAACCCTGACAATAAGCGGTTTAGTAAATACAGAAGTTTGAAAGAGCTCAAGCAATTTTCCTTTAGTAAAAGTGTCAGACATTGCCATTTTTGTAAGTTGTTTTTTTGTTCTGGATTTTATCAATTTATGCACTTATTATTGTAATAATGCATAACAGAAATGTCTTTGTAACTTTTTTGTATGAATAAATGGGAATTTTATAAAAAATAATGACTAAATTAGAAATTGAATATTTAAATTTCTTCAAACTTTTAAACCATTGTATCATAAATTAGTATAAAAAACGATAAAAACTATGTATGAATAATGCTTTTACAAATGAAGTAAAAACATTTTTATATTTTTATAATCAAAAAGAACCTATTTACACTTAATGTTATCAAACTGTAAACCCATAAGTCTAGACCAAATAATAAAAATAAATATTTTATATCTGTTATAATACTAGAAGATTAAATATTTAATGGCTTCACAATAAAATATAATAACAAAAAATACAATTTTTATATTATAATATATAACAATACCAATTACCACATTGTACAAAAAAGTTATAGTTTCAAAAAAATATTTTTTGCTGTAAATTTAATATTATAAAGTACTAATTCACAAGACAAAAAGACTGTTTTGGTTATAAATGGTGACGTGTGTAATTATAATTGTGATATCCAAATTTTTTGCAAAAAGTCCCATGTTTTATATTAAACTAATAAGTTCAAAGTATCATATAATAATACTTATTTAATCAATTGGAACACAAGGAACAATTAAAAAGATGGAAATATCTAATTATTCACTTTAAAAATATTAAAAAAAATAAATCAACTTTCCGAAAATACAAAACATTTTTTATTAAACAATAAATAAAAAATATATACCATATATTTTCGATGATAATACAGTCCTTGTTCCAGTTTTATTCGATATCAGGTCAAATAATAAAAACTTTAATAATTAACAAAAAATACCTCATTTTGTTTTTTGGTTCAAAATAATTCCAAATTATTTTTTTACTCTAAAAATATTTTTTCCATTTTTTTTAAAAACTTTTGTAATTTATAATATGAAAAACAAATGCTTTATTTTATTAGTGTTTGTTAAAACACAAAACGTCCGTTATAAAATCAAAAAAAAACTAATAACGACATAAACAGCATTAAATAGAACACATGAAGAGCAATATGACAACTTTTGGTTTTCAAAATAAACATGCGTTGTTTTATAACAAATTAACGCACTCCAACGACACGTTAATTAACATTATTTCGGTTTTAGATAAAAAACTCATTTGCTTTTAAATTAATTTTAAAAATTATTTTGATTTTTTTTCAACTTAATGACGATTTGGTTTTTGTATTACCATTTTAAGGGTTTGTCGAATAGTCATGGTGTATCTATTTATTTCGCATAAAAGATTTGCCTAACACTATTTACACAATGGTACCCGTTCTAGTGGTAACATATTGTCTGAGCGTAAA